CTCAAGGCCTTTATGAAGTAAGGAAGAGACCAGTTCTATGTAACTTTGAAGGGAGAGCAAATCCGGGCTTGGGGGTGAGGGCATCTGGTATCAGTGGAGATAGCATTGAACAGCTGAACAGTTACCCAGAGATAACACAGAACCATTCATAAAATAATGACGAGGGTTAGGGTGGTGAGATGGAGTGTGATTCTAAATCTTGTTAATGGCAATGTGTTCCCCTCCTCAGGTGTTACGTATGAGGCATTATTGTGTGGCCATTGAGAACCCTAGCTCTGGAGCCCACTAGTGGGGAAAGTTTAGCTCCTCCTCATGGGTTGGTGTGGGAGTCATACAAGACTTAGACTGGCGCCTGGGCCATGGCACATGCTGAACATGAATTGATGTTATTTCAGTTGTCTCTGTATATCTGTCAGAACTCTTGGCACACACATGCACACATTGTCACTCCTTCCTGGAATTTTTAAATAGCTAGCCCAGGTATTCAGTAAGAGTTTGTTTTCCTTTTGCTTTTGAAAGAAAGTTGATTTAGATGACTTCTGCAAGCTTGCTTAACCCTGAGGTTGCATGATCCTGTGATACCCCCTAAGTTTCTTAAATGGCTTCTATGGATGAGAATTTTTCTTTCCTGGAGGATATGAGAAGGAACTAAGTTAATAAGCATATACAAAAAGCTAGACACTTCACTGGGCCTTTGTCACATTTATACTGGGTTGCCATTAGATGAGTCCCTCATAATACATAATGTAGGAAGATAGGGGCGGACACAGTTGAGAAATCTTCACAGGGAAAAGGAAGGCAAAAATCCTTTTCTTAGAGGCACCACTTGCTAAGTTTGAAGCAGGGCTGGATAGAACCTGCTCCAGCCAGTGACAGGTGCAGCTAGATTGACTTTTTGGAAGGAGATTCAGGCATGATTTGTCTTTATAACAGCAATACAGAGGGTGAAAAGAAGAGAGTAGAAGTGACATAGAGACAGAAATGTTTTCCATCATACTGACCCACACCAAGTTGCCCCTGTTCTCTCACATACCCTTTTGTTTTTTTGCTTTTGTAGCATGTCCGTTTAGAGTGAGTGGGCCTGAAGGCAGGGAATTTGTGTTGCCATCTAGCCAACGTGCAAACCATCCGGGTGAAAGAACGATAAATGAGTACTTTCCTAATGAGGGTCTCGTTCTCTAGTTATTGCAGTCTGAGATGCTGTGAATACCAGTGCTAGTTGGTGTTAGCTTAGAACTTTGAAACCAAGGCTTCTCAGCCCTGGCAGTGTCAACATTTGGGGCTGAAAAATTCTTTATCATGAGGGCTACTTTGTGTATTGTATTAAACTTAGTAATATCAGTGGCCTCTACCTAATAGATACCTGTGGTGTCTATTTTCCAGCTATGACAGTTAAAAGTGTTAGTGGACATTTTCAGATGTCTCATGGAGAGCCTCTGTGGTCTGAATAACTAAACCAACATGGAGCTTGCAAGCGCCCCTTCTGTGTCACTGCAGTTGTCCGTTTATAGGACTGGAAATTGGCCTGCTCCCCTCTGCTAGTCCCTTCACCTTCTTCCACAGCTTCAGCAGTGACACCAGCTTGAGCTTGGCGGTGTTCCTCCAAATTGGCTTCAGTTGTCTGCCAGGGCCTTCTGCTCCTCTGAGTGTGTCTGACTTATCTCCCCGGCCTTACTGGGTGTACAAGGGTGATGTCATTGTGCCTTTCCAAGAAGGGTGGAACAAGGAATAGGGCCCCCAAATACACAAACCTCATCCTCAGCTGAGCCGCTGGTTAGATTTCACCCTTCTTCCTCCTCCTTCCAGCTTCAGGAGCGTTTGTCATCCATTATAAGAAGGTATAGTAGCTGGCCAGTCTTTGGGTCTCTGCTTATTGGGTTTCCTAACCCTGTGTGTCACAGGGTGTTGATCTGGTCCATTCCCTGGACAGAATCATGTCTTTTCTAGTATGGTCGTATGAGCTTAGCCTGTGTGCTTTTTTCTGACATGAGTACTGTTTGGCACTTGCGAGGAGCAAGGAAGGGAGGACAAGAACACAAGCTCTCATACCATTTATTTTATGGTTTTGCTTCCTGGGCAGCCAAATAGCTCAGCAGAGTGAAGCGCCTGCTCAGACAGGTGCAGGAACAGGGGTTTGAGCCCCAGTGTGCCTTGCTAGTCCTACCCCTGGGGTGCGCTGAGACTGGGCAAGTTGGCACGCAACTTTGATCTCAGCTCTTGGGAGGCTGAAAGCAGGAGGCTCACTACGAGTCCCATGTGCATGGTGAGCTTCCTTTCTCTTTGTCCCTGGAGTTTCTGAGGCATGCGGCAGCCGTAGGAGGCCCTCCGTACCACTCAGTTCCCTGCTCTTGCCCTTGACCTCTCCACACATCCACGGGAAAGAAGGGTGGGGTTAGTTGTAACTCCTTAAGTGGGAGGGTATACTTGCTTATGTTTGAAGCAAATCCTTGGCATGTCCTTGTAAAAGAGCTTGTTTCAGAACCTGAAAGAATCCAAGAGTGAGGGTTGGCCAGATAGCTCAGTGGGGACAAGTGCCTGCTTAGAGCACAGGGCTGGGGCTCCTTGCCTGCCTGCCATGCTGGCCACGCCCCTGAGGTACACTGAGCTATCGAGACTGGGTGTGGTGGCACGTGCCATAATCTCAGTGTTTGGGAGGCTGAAAACAGGAGGATCACTACAAGTCTGATCTGTGTAGTGAGACCCTGTAGTCCCCGCAGACCCTGTACCAATTCATTTTAAACAAAGAATCCAAGAATGTTTCTTTAATATGAGATTCACCCAGAGGAGTCACTATTGGCTGAAGGAATGCACTTTACACTTGTTTACTTAGAAGTACTTTAATCCAAGATTATTCTGATTTTGTTCCCTTGATAGGCTGGGTTGTAGTGATTTTTGATCCCCAAACCAATCATTAACAGCCTAGAATACACATTAAGGAATTTCAGTGTAGCATGTAGAAGATATTGTAATTTAAAAAATGAGCCAACCCTAAATACCCGGAACAGGAAGGTCCTTGCCTCTTGTGCAGAGAGCATCTGTGAAAGGTCTTGAGCAGAAGCTCAGTGTGACTTTCCATTCTGATCTAGGGTCTTCCCAAACAGCCCTCTTCAGCCAAAAAATGCAGCTCAAGGGCCGGCCAAATAGCTCAGCGGATTAAAGTGCCTTCTTAGGCAGATGCAGGGGCCAAGAGTTTGATCCCAGGGAACCCCAGCCCCACCCCACCGCCGGGGCGCACTGAGCCAGCAATTGAGACTGGGAGTGGTGGCGTGCTCCTGTAATCCCAGCACTTGGGAGGCTGTAAACAGGAGGATCACTAGGAGTCTGATCTATGTAGTGAGACCCTACAGACCCTGTAGACCCTGTCCTAAATACAAAAAAAAAAAAAAAGCTCTTCACAAAACTAGTAGTAAAAGTATTGTCCATCATGTTGAGTGTGTGAGTAATAATGCATGTGGTCTTTTTCCGTGTGACATATATGATGTTATTGGCATATTTTTTTCTTCTTTTTTCTAGGCTGCAGCTTGTCTCTTACTGCCCTTTTCTCCTTACCCTGATTCTAGCTTTTTTGATCCTTTGTTCTGATTGGCCTTGTCTCTATGGAAAACCTTTCTTGCCTTCTGGATAGGCTGTTGTTCCCTTAGGAAAAGGCTGGACCCCACAGAGATACTGACTGCAGCAGGTGTCCAGGTGTCTTGCAGATGCCTTTCTGGCTCATCTGCCAAGTTGGCAGCAGTAAAAGCTTATCCCATGGTGTCTCTGCAGCTCTGCCATCCTGTTGAGGATCTCCTGGGGTTGAGGAGATCAGCACAACCTTCTGAGCAGACCTTCCTCAGGGTACCAGGGCATTTGCTGTCCTTCTGGCCAGTTCAAGAATACAGTACATTCAGGCCACTGGTTATATGTATCATCAGCAGAAGTGGTTTTGTAGTTGTGACCATGATTTTGAAAACCATAAAATTATCAGACTCTTTTTATATATAGCAATACATAAATATCTTTGTGGCTTGGGTTTACAGTAGAAAGAATAAAGCTTGAATTCTGGTGGAACTAGTGGGTAACTGACAGGTGGAAGACAGCCCAAGAGTATGAGAGGGTGGGTCCAGAGCACTCAGTGTGACAGTCTTCAGCTGCCTGTGTTTAGAACATTCTGCAGAGGTAGAAGTTTGGGAGCTAGTTTGTATGGGATATGAAAGGACAGTTTTGAGTTTAAGTGTCTGGAGTTTTATTTGACTTGGACAGAGTTTGGATCACTAAGACTTGAAGCACTTAGTACTGTTTCCCAGATGATTAGAATGCTCAGTTACTATACTTAAGATTATAAATCAACAGTTGTCCTTTCACCAAAAAGTCTGGAGATGATTGTTGTTTGCTCTGCTTACAAAAGAGGCCACTGAAGTTAGACCCTCGGCACATGTTTGTTTGAAAGTCTAGGCTCTAGTTCTCCCCTCCTGATGCCCAGCCAGATCTCTTTGCACTTTACCTTTGTTGCCGGCTATTTTCTGTTATCCACACCACAGAGTCTGTGGAGAAGCCTTTACCAACAAGGACATGTGTTAATATACCTTGTCAAATGTTGCCTAAACCTTTATACATGAAGAAAGCAGTTTTCTGTTCCTCAGGAGCTTACCTGCCCTACGTCCTTTGGTATTAACATATTTACCACCCTCTCAAACTCTGTTTTTGGAGGAGGAGTCGCTTTAGGAGCGCCACCAATCAAATAGTACAGCAATGGGCAAGGCTACAGAGGCCCCATCATTATCTATTACACCCTGCTGCCTCTTCAGCAGGGATAGGTGGAAAGGAAGTGTAAAGAAGTGAAGGCTATTTTGCTGGTAGCGTACATAGGGGCTCACATGTTCAGGGACGTTAGATTCCTCTATTGAGAGATTTCACTGGAGTTTAATTTTGCTGACACCTCCTCCCCGCTTGTGGCTCTCCTCACACACCTGGTGCTGCCAGTGCTGTGATTATTGGTAAAGTGAGCTGTCCTCTGCTTGCAGATGAGCGTGAAGCTGTGCAGAAGAAGACCTTCACCAAGTGGGTCAACTCCCACCTTGCCCGAGTTTCCTGCCGGATCACAGACCTGTACACTGACCTTCGTGATGGACGCATGCTCATCAAGCTGCTGGAGGTCCTCTCTGGAGAAAGGCTGGTAAGTAGGACTGGGAGTTAGCGAATTGCTTCATGGATGAGGAAGTATTTTGAAAAAAAATCTAGTGTGTACTTGTTTTCTGTTGAATTCTGCAGTTAACTTTATTATTAAGAAAGAGCATCTTGATGGGTGAGGCAAGCGCTCCGGGGAGAGTTTCAGTGCCACATTCTGAATCTGGATGGTCTCACTTTGGTCATGTGAAAGGTTGCCATCTTTGGTCAGAAAGATCTGAGTAGTGTCCCTGTTAAATAGGGCATAATTGAAGCTCCAGGCTTGCATGCTGACTCAAGATGAATATGTATCCTACATGAGATCATGGAATGATTTCTAAATTTGTCTTATTGATTCTCTGGAAGATCTGAGCTGCCATTTATTTCAAGGTGTAGTAATGGAATCCAATAGCAGCTGATGGTTTGTGTTTTTTCCTTGCATTCTTATTTTTTAGGGTGTGGAAGGAAAGGCTAGTATTTTGTCGTCTCCTTGGAAACAGAGCTTCTGTGTGAATTCACCCTTCTGTTTTGGGCAGGGAAATTGTCATCCTGCAGTTAAAGAAAAAAAAAAAAAAGATATCCCCATCTGTTTCCTAGAGCTGCTGCATTCCTCTCTGATGTGATTCTTATTTATGCACCTTAAGCCACGGAACCTCACACCACTCACTGTGACTGGCCCAATTGGTTTTGCCTTGCCTCTCTTTGAAAATGCGTGCTCTGTTTCTACCAGAGCACACGCGGGTCCATAGGTAGTGGTGCAGCTGAGCCAAATGCTGTCACCCAGGAATAGAGCTCCACATCTGTACTGACATCAGAGGGAAAATATGATGCTGGTGGTTGACAGTACTGCCAGAAAGCCTTATTTTTAACTTGATCTCCGCCCTGTAACTTGACAGCCGCAGTAGGTCTTTTATGCAGGCCAACCCACGCACTTACGTTGTACCTCACCCTGTTTTTAAGCCCATATGGTATCTCAGCCTGAGTGAAAAATGCAGACAGTGTCTTCCACCTTAGTTGGAGAACAAGGACTTTGCTTCTGAAGGACAGTGAACCCCCATCTCTTCCATGCTGAGCTTTGCCCGTGTTCTTTATTCTCTAGACATACAGGTCTGACTACCTTCTTTTCTGTGAGAGTTTGTGTGTCAAACTAGAGAAAGAAACCGTCACTCAAACCATAATGACTATACAAAGTGATTTGTGTGTGTGTGTGTGTGTGTGTGTGTGTAGCACCAGGGATTGAAAGGGGATTGATTTGTGATATGGCCTGTCGGCAGCAAACAGGACAGTCATTGATTGCATTTTGTTTTCTTCAAATGAGATTGAGAGCCTCAGCTAGAATTCCTGTGGTATGTAGCTTACAAGAATGTAATTTTTGTAACCAGATTTCTCTCCCTTACCTCTTAGCCCCCCCTTTTTTTGCTGCATAATGTTTACTATAGTCTGATAATTTTATTTTTTAAGGTTTTGAAAGTCTTTAAAAATCATTAAAAGATCACATGGATAGAAATTAGTTTCAGCATTTATTTTTGTTCCAATATGACCCAATCTGCTAGGCTATAGAGAGTAAGTTGTTCACCTTTGAAATCCCCTAATTCTCTTTTATACCAAAAAGATTATGTTTTTGATAATGTCTGTATAATAAGTGGCATTAAGCTTGTTACTCGTTAGTCTAAGGACAATAAAAAATATTAGGATAAAAAGTAACTTTTTAAAGCATAATTCTTAGTTGTGTATAAGAAATACTAAAGAGATACCTCCCCTCCGTCTCTTTATTTCCTGTTAGCAATAAAATGTTTTACAATGACCCAGAGACCTAGAATCAGATCCACAACAAAGTATGACCACCATTTTCATCCCTTTAGGTGGTGAATAAAACTTAGATAAAATAGAAATAAAATTAGAAATGTTTCATGTGACAGGTTGGGCAGCCTGGTTATTTGTATTTCAAAAGTAAGTGTATTATAGAAAAAAATGAACTAAAGCTCTTTTTCATTTCAGTGTTTTTGGCTTTGTTGGTATGTATAGTTTGTGGAATGTTCTGGAAGGGACACAAGCCACACTGTGTCCTTGGTTGCTCAGATTGCTAGGCTTCAAATTAGAGTAGGGAAGAAAACTGTTCCCTAAGGGCTTGCCCCAGTAGATTCTTACATATTCAGATCCCAAAACTAATGAGATGTGGGGCCGGCCAAATAGCTTAGCAGGTTAAAGCACCTGCAAGCAGATACAAGGCCCAGGGTTCAATTCCCAGGTCTGCTGTGCTGGCCTGCCCCTGCCCCTGCCCCTGCACCTGCAGCTGCCCCAGGGCACGCTGAGAGGGTGAATGAGACTGGGCATGATGGTACATGCACTTGAGAGGCTGTAAACAGGCAGATCACTACAAGTCCAATCTAGTAGTGCGACCCTGAACACCCTATAGACCCTTCCCTAAAAATACAGGGGGGAGGGGAAGCTAATGAAGTGGTTAGTGTTCCCAGGCTCAGTACACTAATGTCTGTAGCTCACTGTGTCATCAAAGAACATTCAGTCAGCCCTGTGCTGCATCTACAGCAGTGAACTAAAACCCAGATAACATAAACATTTGCACTCCATCAGGAACCTATCAGTTTGGCAGCATTTTAGCCCCACGTTGGCAGTACATAGTAAATGTTTGAGGATTAAATTATCCAAATTTACTTCATTGATTGATTGTTAAATTCCTTTACAAAGGAGGAAATTCGTGTGTGTGTGTTTCTGCTAAGTGAAAGTCAAAGAACTGTGCCTTTAATGATCCAGAAAATTCTAACCTAACCCCAAGAATCTGAGTCAAATTTGATCAGGTTTTAGGTAGACATTTGTGTTATCAAAGAACTTGGTTCATGGCCTTGGGAACAGAAAGTCCCGTTTCCAGTTCTGACTGGGGCTGGCTATGTGACCAAACCCTCTCTGCTTCAGGTATGTCATCTTATGGAACAAAAAGAAAACCTTGGGGCTGAGCCAGGAGGCTGCTGCTGATTAGGATTAGATTAATGAAAAGAATACAACTCCTTTTTAGTGCTTTTTCTGTAATCATTGTGGATACCATTCTTCATAAAGATCTTGCTTTAAAATTCTCTTAAAACTATAGACCGTCCTTTACTTTAACTTCATAACAGGTAAAGTTGTGAACATAGAACCTGAGCTAGTTACTCTAATTGGACCTTGATCTTAAGGTCAAATGAGATCAAGGGTTGAGGGCACAGAGTGTTGGCCTTTAACAGCACTGACATTTAGAGGGCAATAGGTGCCTAGCACATCCCTGGGCCTGAACTTTGGTCATGAGCTTCCCCCTGCCTGCCACTTTCTCTTCATGAAACTATAATAAAGAATGAGTCTAGATAAGGTGGCCAGTTTTCTTTCTCATAACTGTCAGAACAAACCCCTCTGATTGAGCTAGAGTGAAGTTTCTAATCACAGGTATCATTAGTTTCTGATTATCTCTTGTTTCCTAATATTCTTTGGCCTTTTCTCTCCATTAATCAGAATTAGTCTACAAGAAAAGATAGCAACAAAAGAGATGTTTTGGGTTTGTTTGTTTTTCCCATAATTTTATTGAGAAACAAATAGCAGTGAGGCAGTTTCAAATCAAATTGGTAGGACAGTTTCAATAATTAACACATTGCATAAATTCTTTCTACTGGTTAATTACTGTACAAGATGCGCACATAATATCCTATTTACAAACACTATTAGAACAAATCCCTCTGTTCATTAAGAGAATGTAATTATATATCCTAACCGTTTTGAATACACAGATACAAAATGGACATACATCTGTATCCCCTTTTTTTGTTTAGTTCTGTTATTTGAGTATTATAGGTGTGTTAACTCAGCAAAATATTCTAAAAGAGTCCAGTAGTCCATAATAGTATAGGGTCTTCCGCTTGACTGGCAGTGTCAGAAATTGTTGACCTGAGTCCCCTACAGCTCAACATAACACCATGGCTTTACTTCCTGTACTTCATTTTTATACTTTTCTGCTGGATGGTTAAGACCAAGGTAAAGCAACACCTATGCAACAAGAGTTGTAGCTTTTGCATCTGATAAGGTCAGTGAAATCCCCTCAGGATTTATCCTGATATCCTGTACCTCAGATTGTAGAACTTTTTCAGTATCAGCCATGTAGATGAGTCACGGCCATTGCTTGGCCAATGTGCTCTCTGTGAAAGCCTGAGAGAATGTTGTGACTCTCCTTAGGCACACTCTACATCATTGATCACTTTCCTCTTTGGCCCCATAATCTCCTTGATCAGAAAATTTGGGACCCTGCTGAGTTGCATGACTTCACAGTACAAGTTCTCATATGTCCTGAGTCTTAATTGACCTTAGAAGGTTAAGGCCAAAATGTTGGCTTTCCTTGTGGCCCTCCTTTTTCTCTGATTTTGGTCTGCAAACTTAGGTTGTTAACCCTCCAGAAGAGTTTATTGTTATTAACATACAACCTAGGCTGTTAAGCTTAACCTCACTATCTGTCTGGCTATCAAACATCTTAGGCATAACATGGAACAGGTATTTTTCGTCAAGTATTGTTTGTTTTGTTTTTATTTGTAGCCATTAATTCCAAAACTCTCTGGGCAAGGTAAAGAAGATAGGTTTAATAATGAGATTTGTTAAACCTTAAATCCTACATTGAATTGCACTGAGGATATTTTTCATAAGGCCTTTGTTAAGAGATCACCCTATATATTGTTTGTTGAAATAGGGTTTTATGAATTAGCCACAAAACTTAACAGTTTTTCTAAAAATTGTTGATAAATGTGAGATACTTTTGTTTCAGAAAGCTTGTTATAGTACTCACTCTCCCATTTAAATTGGTGTTTAGCTGTACAAGTGCAGAAAGTGAAATAACAGAGCTGGCATGTGCCTAAGTGCCTGATGAGTGACCTCAAAGCTCTGGAGTTGAAAAGAGGAAACAAGCCCTCTTGATTATGTATCCAGACGTAGTAAGTGGGTAGGGCTCACTGTGACTCAGGAGACGCAAGAGTAGCTAGCCAT